ACAAATGTTTTCGGACAAAACCGTTTCCTGTAGTACTTGAATTAAGGATACTACTGACATTATATTAAATAATCAACGTCTGTCTTGTGTAATTGTTGTTTTCTTAGGTCGCCCACACTCGATATATTTTCTAAATGTCCTCGAACAAATTGTTTATTTTGTTGAATATACCATCTATTTGGAGATGTCCACACATCGAAGAAAATATGGATGATTACGCTCTATTTGAGCCGCCTGTGATGTTTTGTTTGAATATTTTTGCTGAATTTTTACGTCGTACCATCCGAGAATGGATAAAATAAAGGTATAATTATAATGTTCTCGTGAAGTTCTTGTATCAGATTACAACTTATGGTTGTGAATGAAACGTCCGAATACTTTTGTCTAACTATATACAGATAAAACTTATTTTATATTGTGTGGTACGTAAATAGCTCCGTGTAACTTTTATGAAAGCTTGCGTCGGAATAACCGTAAACACTCCGCAAGGCAGAACTTCAGAACAAATACAACGAAAAATATCCTTATCAGAATTCAATTATCCGGTACTGTACATTGCATTCCTTTAAAATAATTGCAAAATAAATGGTTAAAAAGTATAATTTTTTTGTTGTAATAATTTTTATTTTGTACTCTTATGTCTTCAATATAAGCATCCACAAAGCTCATTTTGTCAGTTTGTTACTACAATAGTTATGATTTATGGAAAAAAGGTTCACATATATATTCAAACAGCTGTAGAATTAACAATTTTAAAAATTTTCAATAATCCTTCATTAAAGACTGCAACATATTCGAGTGTCATCAAAATCCGAAATGTTACTCCAAAAAGTGTTCGCTTTGGCGTGGAATGCCTCTACTATTTCTAGTAAATGTATTGATTTACTACATAGATAATACATACGTTTTCTACATCAGGTTAGTAAAAGTATAATGTCGAAAGATAAATTTTTTAAAATAGATTATAGAACAAAAATGGAAACTGAAAACTTTAATTGATAATTTAGTGATCTTTTTTAAGGAAATTGGTTGTTAATATTTCATAGAGATAAGAACATAGGTTTGGTTAAGTTATATTTTTATTTAATACACTTAGAAAGAAACAATTTTAATGTAAAGTAAATACTTCAGTTAGATAAATTAACAGGAAATTATCTTTCATACTGTTTTTATTCATTTTAATAATATAATCCAAATGATTTCTGCCCATGAAATGAACTAATTTTAAAATATGAAATTTTATATAATTTTAATATATGACATTTATAAATTATGTTATATGATTCATACAAACAAATGCCAGGCAAAAGTGTTTATTGAAATTAATGTATTTTCTTTGTGCATTCTTTTACTAAATCAAAAATGTGAATGTATGCATCTACTAGTAATAGTGTCAAATTTCGTTTCGTGTGAATAGATTTACTACTAACCAGATTAGTTGGCTAATTCCAATAATAAGTAGGTAGATGTATAAACAAACATTTACTAAATTAATGCTTTTTACACTTTAAGAACAACATAATAATACAGAAACACCAAATAAAACTCTACTACTTGCTCTTTCTCACTTAATATTTTAAAGTGTAAGTAATAATTTTTGAAATAAACATAAACAACATTTATTAAAGAAAGAGAGAAGAGGAAAAAACGAGCACAAAGTGTCTCTTTTAAGTCGGTTAGAAAATAACAATTAATTTTAGTAATTAATTTGGTCCGGGAAAGCGCGAACGCAGTCCCGACTAACAAAAATTGTACGTCCGAGATATCCACATTAGGGATATTCGCAAGGGTCAGCTCAACCGTAGTGCAATGGAAGAGCCTCGCCCTGGAGGAACCGCCTTCATGATCACGGTAACCTCTACGCCAGGTAAGTATGCTTTCCTCCCCGTCGAGACGATACTTAGGGTCTCTACCGTACATTTTCAACTACGAGAAACCTCTTCATCGTCTGCGCACCCTAGCGGCAGCTTCAAATACTACGCAGTAAGGTAAGGCACTCATACAGCGATACTACACATGTCGTCGTATATCGCAATACGTGTATGATACTACGAAGAGCGTTACGAAAAGTAGTACGTCTTATTTGCCTTACGACGTCTAGCACTTTGGGCTTTTTGACCAGGAAAAGCAGCACATTTCGATTTTAGTATCGATAAGTAGCATGTTTTCATTTATAGCGACGAAAAATAGCATGTTGTGTTTTTTCGCTGTGAAAATTAGTACGTTTCAGAAATCCATCATAGAAAGTAGTAGGGTTCAATTCTAGTTGTGAAAAACATCACATTAAATAGGTTGTCTAGAATTTTACTGCAAAAATAAAAAGGTACTTCTAACTGATATAAACGTCATTATTGAAAAATTGAATTGGGTACTCTTATGTCTCCTCTATAAGCACCCACATAACTCAATTCGATCAGTTTTTTAGTAATCATTTTTATTCAGAATTGACGATTAAAGTATGCATTTAATCATTAGTTGCGATTGACTATTGAAGTCGGCATTTAATCATCAATTTGGTTAATGATTAAAGTAGGAATTTAATCGTCAATTAAGGTATCGCTTAAATGGTGTTTAATCATTAATTGCCATTAACGATTGAAGTAGGCATTTAATCGTTAATTACAATTGGCGATTAAAGTACGCATTCAATCGTCAATTGAATTAAAAATTTTAGATTTCGATGAACGATTATTAACTATAATTCTCTTCGTCGTGAATTTAAGATCTGAGCTTTTTCTTGCGATTTAGGCTCGTTTTTGATGTCACTCACGGTCAAGAGACGATGTAGTGGATGATAAAGTATCGGAAAGAAGATAAAACCTGTTATTCCGTGTGCCATGAAACAATAGTAACGTCTAATACAGTGACGAAACTTTTATTGATTTTTATAATAAAAATCATGCCGAACGAAACATAATTTAATCGACAATCGCTGATTAAAAATATTAATCGTCAATTAATATTTGTTTTTTTTTGTAATAAGAATCAAATAAGAATTTGGACATAATTAAAATTCCACAAGAGTACAGTGCTATGATCTCTGAGGAATAGCGGATACAAAAACGAAGGGGGGACATAATACTCCACTATAATATTAAAGCGATAATAACTGTGATGAAAATAATTTGAAAATAATTTCAATTGGAATTGTAATTATATCGAAATTCATAAGTAATTCATATTACAAAAATAAAACAAATATTGCTTGACGATTCATTTTTTGATCATAAGAATCAATCAATCAAACAAAAAATTTCAATTGTTTGATAACTGTAGCAATCTTGTTAAAGCTTTTAAAATACATGGTATTAAGAACGTAATTGGTGATGATGAAAATGAAAGTACAAATGACGACTGTTTAAAATATTCTGAACGACAAACACTGCCGAAGCATTTAAGGTGCAGTAGTATTCAGATTTATTGATTCTTTATAATTAATAACTTAAAAAGCTGCCCAAAATCTACAATTAGCTGAAGTTTTTCAACATATTTTGGGACATACCCCAATGATATATAGTTAATTATATATCGGAGCATTTAATTTGCACAGAACCAGTAGCACAAGCATCAGACATTCTACAAGGAAACATAAAAAATTTGACCTTTAAATTGAAGGTCAAGGTTAAGGTAAATTTTTCGACAACGATTTTACCTGTATCTCCACCAAATCGAAGGTATAGAATCCGGCTATGGTAGCCGCGACATGTAATTTATTAACACCGTGTACTTAACCTTTAGAAGACGGGAAGGTTCTTTCTTGATTTTATATTTTCCAGTTACAATAGAATTTCTATGTATTTGTTACAGTTGTTATGAGTCAAGACGGAGCGGCTGCGAAGGCCGAGGAATGACGATTTTGGTTCTGAGTTTGTTATGTGAACGAACTTACAACTGAAATGTAGGGAGCCACTGGGACTGTTAATATGGGCCTTGTAACTTTAAGAAGTCGTCGGTACACTTCAGGCGGTAAAATTGTGCCTTTGTGGGTTTGTTTCTAGCTAGGAATTTAGATATTATTCTAGAGTTGAAATGAACAACACTGAATTCGAAATATACAAGTATATTCAAGTAGGTTTATGCAAATATTAATGTAAGTGGTAGTCGCGGAAGCTAATTCCAGCGTTCTCGGTTTTCATGCACTGAGAAAGGCAGGGGCCTGTTGTACAAAGTACAGCTTACTATTTTTCTAATGGTAACGTTTTTTTAAATGGTATGCACTATTTTTTTTTCGCCATTATAAAGAGGAGATCAAAACATATCCAACAATGTATCACACTATGGGGTGACAACACTTTGAACGTACACTAAAATAATAAATAATGCGATTATGGCGTTTATTTTGTTTCTGCAATTCCTTTTCTGTGTGTTTTCATTGCAACCAGTTACGTGCAAAATTTTCAGCCCAAGATCATTTCAAGGTCTTAGTGTGATACATTGTTGGATACGTTTTGATCTCCTCTTTATAATGGCGAACAAAAAAATAAGGCATTCTATTTGAAAACACGTTATCATTAGAGAAATCTCAGAAGATATGACCTTCAATCTCATAGCCTAATTTCCCTCCTAAAATACACTAACTTTCTTTCGAACCATTTTTTTATACCGTGATAAATAAGAGAATAATTAAAGGTGGCAGAGTTAGGTGGAACACCCTGTACTATACATACACATATGTATACCCAACATTCGAGTCTAAAAGTTGTGGGGACACGCCTGTTCTTCAACAGAAATCAGTTTTTCAAGGAAATCTGGCCATGCGATAACATCCCACGGCTAACTACGTAATCTATCCGGATGCATTCCTATTCACGATAGGGTTAAGAAGTCACGAAAATGTCTTCGTACATAACATAGTGTTGTATACGCTACGAAAAATAAGCGACTCCTCTGAAGCCTAAAAATAGGATTCCGTCCTCTACAGGTTAAATATTGGCATAGTGACCGAGACATCATTTATCCTTTACTTCACGATAAGTTATAAGTAGAAGATGAAAACTTACGGTCGCGATGAGGATCAACATTGTGAGGTGTCGTTGAACTGTCAGCATCACCTTCGCCGTTTAAATGATAGTAAATCGTACCATCTGCTCCGTCTACCTCCGTCACGTCATTTAGACCAATCAAATCCTCCATATTTCTAGAAACATTTATATGCTTATTTTTTTCGGTGTAAAATACATCTCGACTTGTGTTGACATGAAATACCACAACATTTACTACTTCAAAATGGACGATTTTAAAATCGTAAAAGCTTAAACTTTGTGTTCAAATTAAATGTTTTTATTGGGGCATTCCACACGAAATAGGACACTTTTTGAAGTAACATTTCGGATTTTTTTGACACTTGCATATATTGTAGTGATATATAAACGTAGCTCGAAGGATTTTGGGGAATTAAACAAATTTTTGATTCTACAACTGTTTGAAATATAGTGTCAACCTTTTTTTAATAAATCATAACTGTTGAATTAACAAACCGATCAAAATGAGCTTTGTGGGTGCTTATAGTGGAGACATAAGAGTACCTAATCAAAATTATTTCAGGTAGAAGAAAATGTTTTTTAACCATTTATTTTGCAATTGTTTAAAAGAAATGCAATTTTATAATAGTAGGACCCAATTAGAAAATTTGAAAAAAAATTGAGGATACGATCATATTTGTTCTATTTATGGACAAATTTTCAAAAATAAGGAGACTTTAAAATTGGCCATACGAAAATTAATTAAAGTTGACGCTACGTCGAAGCACATTGGCTCGACCGGCCGAGCCGTGCCGCACCGGCATGCCTAGTATCGCACGGTTTTGACTTTAGACGATCGAGCCTGTGTAATTCAACACAACGTTAACTTCAATTAATTGTCATGTGGCCAATTTTATAGTCTCCATATATTTTAAAATTTGTCCATAAAGAGAACAAATAGGGCTATAACCTCATTTGGTTCAAATTTTTAAATAGTGCCCCACTATTACAACATTGCATTTCTTTAAAACAATTGCAAAATAAATGGTTAAAAAATATTTTTTTAACTCAAATAATTTTTGTTAAGTATTCTTATGGTCCCACTATAAGCACTCTCAAAGCTCATTTTGATCGGTCTGTTAGTTCAAAACAATATTATATGTATGTAAACAAAATTATATATAAACGTGACACCGTATATATTTTATTCCTTCCCTACTGGACGACAAAGTGCGGTGCGCGCGACATGCAAGAAAAATATATGTGAGCGAACGGCGTTCCTACGCTGCAATAAACGAGCTTCTACAGTAACACCTAACTTTATTTGTAAACTATAAAGAAAACATTCATAAAATTTTATATTTGTAGAAAAATTATTTATAAATTATTTGTAAATAATAAAATATTAATACTATGAAAAAAAATCAGTGACAAATATAGACTGATGTTATTGACTAATATCAACCGGGAGGAGCTTGTCGAACGGACGCAGACCAAAAAAACGAACTTCCGTAGGGAGATACATTACCGACTGCGCTACACTATCGTGTGTCAGAGAAGCTTATCTTTTTGCAGGTACAGATACATCACAATCTTAACATTAAGTATTTTATAAACAAATGGTTGTATGCGACTAAAACAAATACCGTTGTATTGAGAATTCCAAGTTCCATCACTGGGCAAAACCTCATTATAAATAAATAAATAAATAAATAAATAAATAAATAAATAAATAAATAAATATATATATATAACAAAATTAGCTTAACACTATGGACTTTTCTTTATAAACTTACATACTAGATTTTGAAATAATTCATCACATTTGTAGTATTGCTACATCTGTGGATACACTGACCAGTATGCGACAGGTTGCTGTTACCAACCGTTGCGATTCGATGGAACGTGCGTTAAATCGTAACGTTCTCTCGGCCCTTTGTGTGTGAAATCCTTAGTATACATATATTTATTATGGGAGCCTCCAATATATTTAGTCGAATTCGAACGTATATATATGATGTGTGTGTGTATATATAATATGTGTGTATAGATAAACATTCTGTGTTAGGTTAAATTGGTTTTACGTGCTACACATGTTTTTCGTTGTATCCAGTAATCTTTTGTTTAGAAAATAAACTTACTAAGAATACCGAATTGACTATGTTGTAATAGTCCTATCAACTATGTAACATGAATCACATTGATAAATTAGTCGTATGAAGCAATATATATGTATTACCTTTCTAATATTTCAGTAAAACATGTTAAATAATATTGAAAATTTAATACATGATACCAAAAGTATCAAAAGTGAACAAAAATACTAAGATATAGGATTAAGTGATATACTTGTTTTTATTATGGCAAAAAGAGTAATACCAATGAAAGATCTTATACAATCACATAAAAAATATTATAAAAACGAGAGCATGTAAGAGATTCTACATGATTCCAGATGAAAGTATTTATTTTTTAAAAGAAGTTACATGTTAAATTGAAAGATATTTCAATAAAGCTATTGAGAAAATGAACACTTTTACAGTTTGACCAATGCAGGTTAAAGGAATTAGACGCAAATTTTTAAAAGTGTTCCCATTATCGCGAGGAATGTTGATATGACATGTGCAGAAAATATTGTCATTACTGCTGACTCGTTATGTAGAATAAAAATGGTAAATTATTAATAAGAATACGGCAGATTTGAAAATTATTTAGAAGAATATAGCAACATAATAAACATTATTTTATATACTTACATTGTTATTATGCCTGAAGATAAACAGATGAAACGGCGTTCTATCTCTCTCGATTAGTCGTTAAACCCACTGAAGAGTATCAACGAATAGTAAACACTGACCACTTACACGATACGGAAACTGATGGAAACAATCACAATGCAATACCTTGTTAACATTTGATTAGTCAGAAATGTGTCTTCGTAAGCGCACTCACAACAGTTTACCTTTTCAAGTGATTTTGTGCGTAGGTACAATAATGTCACTGCAATCACCTTAACGATGCGTATAGCATAAAAGCTTACATGTGTTCAATTAATAGAAATTCACTATTTCGTCCATGGAATAAGAAGGAAACTTTAGTTAAGTGATGCATTAATTGTTAAAGTACGCTGTACAGAAAATTTCCAGCGTGTTGGGACGTGCTGTTAGTCACCGACTGTCACTACACGTTTCAGTCTCGGTGCGTATGGACCAGGGCCGTGTCTATCCTTTTAAAAGCCTGCATGTAATTTTAAGCTACTCGACCAAACTTCACAAAACAATTAAATTCTTAATGTAACTGAATGTATATAAATCAATGGTAAAAATTAGTTAATGTTATCCCCTTTTCTCATATGTAAACTGGAACAATCTCATTAGATACAGTTCTGTGAGTGCACAACGCTTTCTGCAAATGAAGTACAACATACTACTTTAAAAATTTCATATCCTTTTTCAAAAATGCGCTGATTACGTATAACGTTTGTCTGATTTTTATTACATTTTTTGGCATTCTATTTGAGAAATAATATATGGTTTAAGGATATTACAAAATCAAATACACTGTTAGTACAATAGTAAAATTAGTCTCACTTTAATCTTTTAATCATCCACAAATACCAAAATAATATGAAATCTTTCACCTGTAACCTTAAGACTACTGGAATAAGAGATCTACGGTGACCTACACCAATGAATAGGACTGGCCGGAGGCACGGTGGCGATGGGAAGCTCGTTGCTCGACTGGCGCAGGCTCGTGCTGTCGATCTTCAGAAAATCTATACTACGCAACTGACCGTTGCAGGGGCGCGCTTCAAAATTTGTATAAACTGACCACTATTTCTTGTCGGAAATAAATATTAATATAAGTCCAGACACTGATTCCATTTTTAAAAATAGAACAATTGCTTCTGCGGATACATCCAACTCTTATAATATGAGAAAAAATGATAATACCACGTACAATTTATAACTTCGATATTTTTATATAAATATTACAGAATTTTTAAGTTACCATTGAAAATATTTCAGGGCAATAGTGGTGTTTATTAAATGGTTTCACTAGAAATGTTAGATAAATATTAGGGCGTTTGGACATTTCCAAAGAAATAAAAAAGCGTTTGACATACTGATCATGTACTGTCTTCGAGACACATTTCGAAGGTAGCTATGCCTTATGCGGTTTATGTGACGAATTTTTATTTTCTTCTTTGTGTGAAAAATACAAGGACAAAGTATGAGTGAGTATAAAATACATTTCCGCTGCGCACTACATGAAAATTGTGAAAAAATATATTCATTCGATTGGAAGATTTTATAGCATTCACCTTATATACTAAACAGTGTATAGTCGAGAGAATCATTTATTGTGGAAGAATTCTATGCGAAGAAAAACCTCTGAAAACAGAAAAGCCAATAGTTACCCCGTTAAAGAGATTTTTTAACCTGAACGCCGATTATTTATCCGAACTAACAGGGAAACGAATCCGTTCGAATAATCGGTTCAGGAGAACCAAAGCATAATATACATATATATGTATATCATAAATGTATTCGAAATAAAGTAATTTTGAAAGATGGATGTTTATTGCATGACGAATCGCAATAAATGTTTGCACGGCAATTAACAACAATTTCTTCAGCCTTGTCATTGTTTTCTTTAACAAGAATAGATAAAACAATATCACTTTTGTGTAGAGTTTTATATCTTGGATTTTCTTTACGTATTTCAAATTCAGTATGGTGTAGGGTAAGAGGCCCAAATTTTTCCCCCGTGCGATTATTGTAAGAGGCATGTCTGGAATAACCATTCTACACAAAATCATACAATTCAAGGGTAGCAAAGTATAAAGGACAACTGCAATTTTGTCGATTTTCGCTTTTATACATAGATTGACTAAGTATTATTTGCAGTCTATTTATGTAAAATACTGAAAATCAACAAAATCGCAGTTGTCTGTTTGTACGTTGCTGCCATCGATACAATACAGACTCCTCTTGATTATCGTCTGACTTGTTCTACACGATTGTTGTCCATGCGTTATCTCCACCACTGGGGAGTGGAGGCTATGAAACCTGTCAAGCGGATACTTTGTTGCCTCTCTGCTTTTGTTGCCAAGGCTTGGGCTTCGGGCAAAGAACGAATGTACGAGGGTCGAAAGCATTTCACCCTATACGATTATTGTCCCGCCGCGGACCCGTGTTCGGGACGATAATCGAGAGGAGTCTGTACTATAGTATATCAGTGAGGGTCTCGAGCTCGGACACCGTCATTGATTAGTGGAATATCAGTGTGGAGTCAGAAATAACTCTGGCACAGTATGTAGTCCGTGCTCTAGTAGTCGGAGGGTTAAAGTATCGCATACGTCAGTGTAAGTATTTCATGAAGAAAGAAGCAAAAATAAAAAAGTTTCTTCACTGTATTTGACGTTACTATTTCTTCATGGCTCACGCATTAACTGCATCGACTCTTGGCCGTGAGTGACATAAAAGATGAGCCGAAATCACATGAAAAAGCTTAGGTCTTAAATTCACAACAAAGAGAATTTTAATAGATAGTCGTTAAACGAAATCTAAAATTTTTAATTCAATTGACGATTAAATGCCGGCTTCAATCATCCATCGAAACTAACGATTAAATGCCTACCTTAATCGTCAATTGCGATTGATAATTAAAAATTCAATTGTAATCGTTAATCGTTAATTTCATTCAATTTTGTCCAACTCCGAGTCCCCGTACCTTATTGTTAAAGCGTAGCATGATTTACTTTAATCCTGCGGAAGAGTAATTGATGGTATATTTTTCCACGCTTCTTTTAAACTACTTCTTTCATAATACATTCGTTCTGTGCACCGATATAATCGGTATTTGCAATGATCGACGTTTCTGACAATTGGTATTAGGATAATCCGCATTCTACTGTATGTTTTTCGAATTCGTACAAGTAATTCATTGTCAAATACGTACCAGTGCATGTACGTCCATGGCAAATTAGAATACAGTGAACTCTAACTATATTGCCTTGGTCAGGACTGTAGGGGAGTAAAATGGGAATGAGTTGAGAGTTCCTTCCATGCTAAGTTCTATCGTCATAGCCTCGGCTTCAGCGCCTGCGCAAAATCTGGATCGTGCTGGTGAGCCGGCGTACGCAACGTGGTGGGAGAGCGAATTTGTGTGCTCGAAAGTATGTGTGAAAGGGAGGTGGCTCCCATGGCAATATGCTTAGTGTCCACTGTACCGTATTATCAACAAGAGAATACAACAGAAGTGTTTTGTTAATTAACTTACGTAATTTTATTGCAATGAAACATAATTACATTTTACACGAATTTAGTATACCATATGCGTGTGCATTTAAGAATTAACAAGCTATCTTTAAACGATAATAAGAAATTAATAATCTTTTTAAAGATTCCGCTCCAAGGTACCTATGACTTTCACGTTTCAATTGAAATCAAAATCACTTTCCGTATTTGAAATATTCCGTTCGATTGTGCTCTCTGAATCAGAATCTAATAAAGATTTTATTACATCTTTCTTTTCCTTTCGCGCATTTTCAGAAGATACGGTTCCACTTTGTCCTTCATTAACCTTTTCCAAATCGTCTTTTACCTCTTCACTTTTAGATTCTTCCTGTAGCTCTTTGTATTTTTCATTTTCTTCCTGTTCCACCTTGTATTCTTGTTCCTGTGAAACCTCGGCTTCGTTAAACTCATAATGTTGATTCGTATCTGTTGTTACATGTTCTTGGCTAGGGTTGTACTGTTCTTCTGAATCTTCTTGGTATTGCGCATTAGAATCGTGTTGATGCAGATTTTCAGGATCATTGATATCGTCACCGTATTGTTCACTTGTATGTCCTCCGTAATGTTCATTCGATCCTTGTTCGTATATTTGATTAGTATACCCTTGATATTTATAATTTTCGTTATTTCCATATGACTCCTTCTGATTATAATTATATCCCTCTCTTGAATCAGAATACTGTATTTCGGTATTATGCGCATAACTTTGTGCTTGATCAGATTCTTCATAATTTTTATTATTATACTCTTCACCCAATATAATTTCTTGTTCATTATTTTCATTTATATTACTTTCATTTATTACACCGGACATATGATTATTTTCACTGTATTCTTCTGTGCGCTTATCATCGTGGTCATTCTGCTCATCCAATTCTTTGTTTGATAACACTACATTTTGAACCATGTTCTTGTAGTTCAAACTTCCTTCAGCATCTTCATCTTCCTGCTGCGATTCTTGAAATTGCGAAGTGGAAATCTGGCTCGTTTCAATTTCATTCTTGTCCACTAAGCCTTCACTGTTTCGCAGCTCTAATCTGTCATTTATATCATTTAAAATCACTTCTTCAACGTCCGTACTATTTATGACGTCTCCTTTATCTGTTATATTTTCCTCCATGTCATCTGATTCTATATTCTTTGTATCATTTTCGTCTAATGTAGGCTTGTTACCCACTGAATCTTTGTTCCCGGTATGGTTTTCAATCTCATCAAGTAAATCTATTTCTTTTATTTGCTTTTCAACATGATTCAAACTCCATGGTTCCAATTCTTCAACAGCGTTAAATAAATACTGCTCCAATTGTGATTCCTCTGCGGTACAAAAATCATTATCTTCGACAGAATGAACAAACTTATCCCGTTGCGTTTCAGATAGAGATTCGTCGACTTGATCCAAAATAAGAACATCTCCTAGATTATCAGAATTCTGGTTTTTAGGCTTTCCAATATTTTGATGTGAATCTAAGTCTGGCTTACGTGACGTAATATCGTTGCTAATTCTGTCTTTTGCATACGCCATTGATGCTACATGTCCTTCGTGCGCATCTGAAATTTCAACATGAATTCTTTCAGAATTTGGCGCATAGTTCCGCGTGGTCCGAACCAATTCCAGATTTCTATTTCTATCGTCCTCATCTTTTCCAACATCATTTACATTTACGGTTTCGGACACAAGATTTTTGCCAAGCACCAATAATTTTTCATCTTCTTGCTGAATGTATTCTCCTCGGTTAGCGTCTGTCAAAATTTCTGGTTCATCGTTTAATGACCTCTTATTAAAGTCGCCATTGTTGGTATTTTGTTGCTGACGAATCCTCTGCGAACTTTCCTCGTCAAGGTCATGATGAAGCTTTCGAATCTTATCCATGTACCTGTCAAACTCATCGTCTATTACTATCGGAACTTTGCCCTCCATACCTTCTACATGAATTTGCGCCGTGTCTTTTGAAAATCGACACGCGTCTATATCATTCAAATATTTCGGAACAACATGTCGTTTCATTATGTGCTCATCGTGGGATCTTGTTACTGGAGACTGGAGACTCTCAGCAGTAGATTCTTGACTATATTTGGAATTTTTCAAAGAATAATGCATGTAATTTGGAACAAGTTTCTTATCTAAATTTACAGACACATTCATTGAAGATATATCGGATACGTTACGTTCCATACTTGCAGGTGTATCTTGAAAACAAAACGATCTTTCATTGCCACTCTTCATTTCCGTTTGTACAGTATCTAATGACATTCCGCTGCTTTGCTGTTGAAAAGATTGCGTATACGTTGGATTGATATAATACTGTGAACTCGATGGTCCACTTCGATTTTGAGATACTTCCAGAGATTTAGATTGCGGTATATTACTGCTACTATAGTCAGGTGTTACGAGATGCGGCGCAGTTTGAATTGTGTTCATTCGTTGCGGGAATATTTGATCGAAATGTTCAACGTTCGTTTCTCTTGGCAAATTTATTTCTGTATAATAATATGCTTGGCCTCGTTGAAAAGCTGGTGATGGCAAATTTGGTAACGGTGATTGTTGAAGAGTACTTTGTGGAAATTTCGGGGACATGCGTAAGGTAGTTAGACTACTTGTTTCATAATTCGGCCGAAACAAACGTCGTGGCGACATATTCTTTACTTCAGGAGGTAAATGGTTTTGGTGCTCGTCGGCACTTTTTCTCAAGTGCCTATTATTGGTCTGATCCGACACATAATTGTCGTCAATATCTGCTGTATTTCCTGGAGAACTATGAACTCCGTATATTTGACGAAGATAAGCTTCATAATGTTTCTGAAAAATAATGAGATATTCTATGTCGTAGCTGGTATTTCTTACTACCTCTTTTTATTTAAAAACTACAAGACATTCCTCAATTCGTAGTGCAACTCAAGAAAAATCTACTTGGAAAATTTTTTGTGCGAAGATATTGTACATACATACAGTCGTACGAACCGACCGCCCAGCAGCTTGTTCAAAACTTCAAAAGATTGGACAAAGACAATGACTGACATGTGGCCAAAAGCAAATTACAGGATTAAAAACAAAAATTCTACGTTTGTATACCTGTGAAACAACCATCCACAACTATACATTGGTCATGGAAAAGAGCTATAAACATCCACACGTACCAACCCTTAAAATACCTCATTCCATATTTCTTCATATACAGGGTGTCTCAGCTAACTTGAGCACCTCGAATAATGACTTAACAGTATACTTTATGAAAATTTTGAGACGTGGAACTTATATGGCATCAAGGGACACATCTTATAAGGTACGTGCTTTTTTTGTGGGTGCAGGCATTTCAGAGATTTCAAGGTCACCTTGATTTTTTTTTAACGAAACGACCTATTTTTTATACCATAGATCGATAGAGTATCAAATTCTGAGTAATAATGTGTTGACCTCCATACGTCCTAAACCTAATAGTTAACGAGATATTTACAAACTAATTTTTAATACGTACTTATACAGTATAAGTTATACTGTCTGGAAACTATACATAGATTCTCGAACTGATGCCCTTCACCTTCAGTACAGTGAACAATTTGTAAATATCTCGTTAACTATTAGGTTTAGGACGTACGAAGGTCAACACATTTTTACTCAGATATTTTAATAATAATAATATTTTAAATAATATTCTAAACTTGTTCTGTTTTTTTATAACTTGTACCAGTTTATATTGGTATTTTACAGATAAAGAACACATCATTATTGTTTAATCTTTTAATCTAATCGCATAAAAAGCATCATATAAAAAAAGTGTAATGTACTCTTAATTGGATTGTACTACGAATTGTATCAGTTTCTGTATTTTCTACATGCAGAGCAGAGATATTTTGACAAAAATGTAGAAATTATGACAACTATCTTACATTTATAACCAAATTATGCTAGCTTGCAATAGTCGATACATACTGGGGTGCATGAAAATATAAAAGTAATTACGTTTCAGCATTATGCATCACAGGCATAGCACAGAAACGCATATACAATAAATGCAAAATGTATTCGTACACATTCACTTTTTTAAAATAATTTTTACCTTCTCAGGCTCGATGCAGGCATTGCAGGCGAGCGAGTTTTGTCGTGCGTTTCAGAAGTATACAGAAACATATGAAGAAAAATACATAGGAGTAAGTAAAAGAAGGAGAAAATCGACTGTCGGAATATCACTGGCCCGCTGTTGTAACGTCCAGGAATAAAGGGGAGGAAATGAATTTAGGACGGAAAACAGATGTGCGTTTCTTCTCGAAATCACCAGTCAGACCCATCAATAGGGCTACAGCTGGTGGCACCTGCCCCAGACGTAGAAGATAAAAGGGTTTTGGAACTTATGTATAAACGGAGTTAGAAACAAGTACTTGTGAAAAACGGGACACGACGAAGGACCTCTGTCGAGTGCCGGGCAAACAATCGGCGGATCCACACATCGGATGACGTGACACTGTGACAAAATCTGCATCGAACTTTAACATTCAGATAAACGTATAATACTTACTTGCTGCGACAACGCGCGACAAAACTCGCTCGTCTGCATCGTGCCTCAAATTAATATACAAGCCTTTCAATAACTATGTACTATCTGTAATAGCAACCCAGATAGTACATGACGCCTTAAAGACGCCCATTTTACGGCAAATTTAGGTCTAAGGCGCCTTTAAGCTGTCTTGAAGAAGTCATTGGGCGTCATGTGCTATCTGGGAATAAATTTTAAAATAATATATTTTTTACCACTATGTATTTTTAATAACTTTGAGTACATTTATTGTGGCAGAATTAACTAGACAAATACTTTATGTATTCATTGTATGCTACTTAATATTTAAATTACAAACAACAAAGACTTACTCGAAGAACATTAAGTCTATCTGTTCTTGCAGTGATCAATGCAAGACTATTGTCTACCTTGTCTAAGGCTTCGAGTAGTTTGTAGTTCCTTTCATGTGTTGTACGTTGTTCCTCTAAAAATTCTATGTACCTGAAACGCAGTCGATTTACAGACTCATTGTGCCTGAAACATTAATGATTTCATTAATTTTTGATACGATTTATCACTCATATATGCGAATAAAAATGATTTTCAATAATATTTTCTATTATTTGCGGGAGCATGTTCATGACTCACAATCAAATTAAAACACTGATATAAAACTGTTTTGTTTCAACAACCACAAATATTGTATTTGTGTTTCTTACAAAGGAGAATACCGCTTTTGTATTATTTTAACAGTGACATCTCAGGATACAATTAATCACGTTGAAATTATTGCTGCATGCTCTTTTTCACAAAAAGCCATTAATTTATCCCAAACGCGTCTCTGGAAAAGTTAATTTCTCCATCATTGGCAAGTCGAACAGCAAGCAGCGGGGGTAGTTTTTTTTACTCATTATCGTGCCTCCTAATTAAACTTAGAGTAAAATATTTTGTTTTCAAATTTGCAGACAAACAACAGTTATCGAATAGTCTATACGGCAATTTGATACATACAAAAATGAAGATGTTATTCAAATCGTTTTCGAGAAAAGGGATACCTATTCTTTGGAGCTATTTTTCGGTGGTTTAATTTTAAAGATATATTTCATCTGAAAGTCTATATGATAGCACAACTTTCAAAGAGTAAAAAATACCCCCGCTGCTTGCTGAGAGATTAACTTTTCCGGAGACAGGTTTGGGATAAATTAATGGCTTTTTGTAAGAAGGAACAAATATTTACTGCTGAAATTTGGCACACTTATTGATCGTAATGGATGCCATATTCTCCTAAAATTTCAAAGTTCTATATTTAAATCTGTTCGCGTATTAAAGTAATTGAAAAAAAGAGTCTATTTTGACAGTTTTAATTCTTTTGTCACTGCACATGTGCACTGATTTTAACGTATTATATCTCACTTTGTAGGTATTAAAATTACCTGCATTTTTATTTGAACCTTTTTTTTCTAAAATAATTATATTTTCTTCTACATGCGAAAAACATGTTTTTCACACACTTTCGAATTCTTTTAACAGTGTTCTATTGTAACATGTATTCATTTCTGTATATAATGACCTTCCGAACCATTCCGTGCAAACAAATAGCTAATTAGACTTATTTTTTGTTCAAAGTCTAATTCGACCGAACTATTATTTAAACTGGTAAAAGTCGTTCAAAGTTTTATTCGAAAACTTCAAGTAAAGATACAGATAAAAGATGAAAATTTTATTCGACACTACGAATGAAATGATCTTCGAATAAAAAAAGTATCTTTATTCGTTGAATAAATTCTCATCGAATAAATTTGTTTCTTCAATATTCTTTTTGCGTTCTTTTTACGCAATATATGTGTACGCATATAACACGCGTATCGATTAAAAAAAATAAGCATCATTGCAAGTACGAGTAGAAAAGATTTATCGTTGCAAATGCACACATTAGTACATATTGTTCCATTCTTGGATATCTTTCACTCGCGCCGTTCTTCTCCTAAGTTAGGCGAGAATCGAAGTTTCACCTCGAGCCGTACTTATTCCGTCGTTCTCCTGATGGGCAGAATTGTAATGAGGGCAACAGCGTAAGAAAACTATCGATACGGTCTGGCAAGAATGCCTTCGTGTAGCAGAATATTCACTTCCAACTTGATGGTAAAACGGACAAAAATTTATTTGTAGGTAGTGTCATTAGATGTCGTATCATTAAGCCGTCCCAGTTATCGATTATGTATTTTCACTAGCGCCCGTTTGTTTACGTCTGCGCTTCGATCGATTCGAAGTTGGCCCCGAAGGAGTCTTCCCCCCTAATTCGGATGATTGAAGATTTACTTATTACATGTTCTATGACAACATTGTATTATTATACAATCGAGAAAAATGATGGTCGTAAACAATAAGAATTGTTTGCATGCAGAGTTAAATTTACTGACATTACTTAAAAATATTTATTGGATCCGAGAATACTTTCAGATATTCAAGGGAGGACGTCTCCGTTGCAAACACAACACATATACAGGGTGGGGCAATAACTATGTCCACTTTGAATATTGTCGTTATTTGTAATAATATGAAAAAATGTTATATACAAAACTTACACGGCATAGAGGGAGGCATATTGTGACACAAACATTTTCTGCGTGGGTGCAGACATAGAGATTTCAAGGTCATTCCTATTTTTTTTAATGGAATGCTTTGTTTTTTTTATCGCGAGGTGATAGCCGGTGCTGAGACGACTTCAGCGAGCTATCATTGAAGGTCATGCAAGATCAAATGTGGTAGTAAAATAAACTTTCTTACATTACAGAAGATGCACGATGTGGTGAGTAAGTTCAGAAACGATAAGACATGCATGTGATGCAGCGATACGAAAATTGCAACTTAACGAAGTGGTGAGTAAGTTCAGAAACGATAAGACATGCATGTGATGCAGCGATACGAAAATTGCAACTTTGCATTGACGCAAACGGTCACTACTTCGAGCATCTCATGTAATGTAAGACAGTTTATTTTACTACCACATTTGACCTTGCATGACCTTCAATGATAGCTCGCTGAAGTCGTTTCAACACCGACTATCACATCGCGATAAAAAAAACAGCATTCCGTTAAACAAAAATAGAGATGACCTTGAAATCTCCTCTATGCCTTCACCCACGCAAAAAATATTTGTGTCACAATATGCCCTCCTCTATACCGTGTAAGTTTTGTATATAACATTTTTTCATATTATTACAAATAACAGCAATATTCAAAGTGGACATAGTTATTGTGCCACCCTATATACATATACGAATGCATACACAGGGAGTACAATACTACAGGGGATACAAACACTGCAGTCCTACAAATTGAGGGCATATCTGTGCAGTTTCTTCCTGTGCATACGATCGATGTCTGTTTACTGCCTGCCTACCTGTTTGTGCATAGTTGTGAAGTACGATATACATAAAATGTAAACACAAAGAACGGATTCGTGTTGGGAAGAAATTGCGAGACAAGGGTTAGATTTACGTACATTATCTGTGATATTCATTGAAAGTAGGTTGCTTCCAAATCAATACGTAATATCCTAAATTCTTTCGTGTTATTATTACATAAGAGGAAAATTAAATCGATAATACCAGCTGCTTAATACGTCAAAGAATTTAGCCACGCTGAGACACATTAGTACAGCACTAGCAAAACTATTTTTTAATATTTAATTTTGTTACAGTTTTGGTTTTAGTCGTTAGTAGTTAACTTGGTAATTGAGCTAGTAGAGTTAAAAGCAATTTCATTTTGAACACTCACCTGTTATGAGATTCTTGTAAAAGCACTTTGAATCTCTCTTCTAATCTAATCCTTTCTTCTTCGCTGTAACGGTCGTATAACATATATGTGCAATAATTTTGCTAATAAGCTATACTATTTAATATTTGTGAAACGAAAACAAACTGTACTTACCTCTTTCGTAATTTTTCCTGCATTTCCAGCATTTTTTTGTAATAATCATGACTATTATAAAATGGTGTCATAGTAAGTAACTCAGTTTTGAATTAATTAGAAAAATCGAAGTGTCGATTGTTTCGACTTTCGATATATTACGCTTGTTGCAATGTTATTTAAACCAAATATCGCACAATATTTTTCAAACACATATTGTTTCCAAGGAAGGTATATATTTATCATTTTTGAGAAACTATTTTAATTACAAGTGAATTGAATAACATGCACACCACAAAAATTACTTAACAATATTTCAGAAAATCTCACCAATATAACAATGAAACATTATTTTCTTAACATACTGTGATTTGAAAAACTTTATAATAAAATTAGATGGAACGATCTTTCTTTGTGTCGACACAATGAGCAAATGTCCTGTTTGACGTTGCCGAACGGCACAGCCCGGGGTATATCAGCAGATAAACACGCAGGTGTTATCCCTCCCCATCCACTAACATCATAAAGTAATAATAAAATACATATACGCATAAAAAACAATATTCAGCTTGAGAATTATCAAATAGTGAAAACTTTTTGTACTTATAGAAATAGTAAACAATAGTCTTATTTAATTAAATAAACAAATGTTATTATATAATTTCTTTAAATAATTTTCTTTCACCTGAATCGAATTGTATCATTTAAATTTAGAATACATTGTTATAATATACCAATTATTTAATTCGGTTAGATTTTGTACAAAATGTGTCTATAAATAGTTTTCGTGGTTGCCCTTCGCGTGTCAGTTCCTCATGCACTTTACGTCTTGACGTACTGCGGTAAATATTTACATTTCGAAAATACTCTTCCATAAAAAAGAAGATAATAATAATGTACTGTTTATGTGTTTTTGTACACATTTATTTATAAAGAACATTCACATCTTAATTACGTGATTGTTCCGACAAGTAACACAATAATAGGTACCTGTAAAAGCTTTGTTGTGTTGTTAAAATAATCAATTAAAATGTTTCTTTTGTTCCTTAAAGCAGTTTTTATAAGTTTTTTATCATTTAGAACGTTCACTGAGTTGGTTACAGATGTCTAAATATTTTTAAACGTGTACAAGTGGTTACTTTTTACTGAATTTTAATTTTCAATAATAAAAAAAAGATGTGTTATAGACAGTGAGAGCTGGTCAGTCAAGGAAGCTAGATTTCAAGGCATCTCAGCAATTTTCCTTGAAGAAACTCATTTAGAGGCAAAGCAGTGGAACAGAAACTTCATGATTGATTGTAACCAATACAATAAAAACTCTAAGAGCAAGAATTTCGACATAGTTTCAAGGAGTGGGAGAAATATCTCCACCAGTGTATCATCCATGTATATGTAAAGTTCTCTGATTATTAAAGATAGTATCTTTTAAATTAAAATTATTTCATTTTTATGAAAACATTGCCTTTAAGACAAACCAAGTTATATTTTAATAGAGAGCAACTGAACATTTTTTAATTCAAGCATAGTTGAAGAGGAAAATGAAGGCATATAATGTGTTATAAATTGTTTGTTTTTAAACATATTCTAAAATGTATTATATTAAAAGGTATAATAAACTTTAATAAGGTTTTTAAATTTTTCTAAATCTGATACAACAATTAACTCTCTATAGTACACATGTTGGGTCCGTGGACTCATGAGAAAATTGTTTTTCCATTTGAGTACTCTTCACATATACACTGGATTGTTAACAAGAGTAAATATATTTCTATTTGATGTTAGTTATAAATTACTTTATGAACATCTATATTTGCATAAACATTCAAGAGTAGTAATCACATTTGATTGATTTGGAGTACTCATTAAAATGATTTTGAAACCTGCAATATTCTAAGTTTGTGACAAATTTATTTACTTAGATCAAGTTTTTTGTCTACATTAAATTTTTATAAAATCCATTAGAAGATGAAAATATTTGGATTTAAAGATTCTCTTGAATTATAGATAAATTAGTTTTGATGTATAACAGAAAATAATTTGGTATTACACACCAAATATGTAGTACATAGAATTACTTTTTTAGTACCAACAGTTATAATTAACTTTTTTATATTGTATTTTATTCAACCTTCTCACATTCTTTAATATAAGTTGCACATAAATGTTCCTGTAATTCAGGTGTCGTTGTAGTAGCCATACATAATGTGTGTTGCAAGCAATCACCAACAAGTCTAAATTCTCTTTGTAGCTGTTAAAAGTAATATTCAATTGTACTTTATAATTTATTGAATTGCATCTCTTAAACAATTATACCTCTGTAGTTTGAGGCGAAGTTGTTCCTTCTTTTGGAATCCGTAAACTGGCAGTTTTCAACTTAATAATTTCATTTTCTATTGTACCTTCTTCAATAGTTATATAACCACGATTATGTGATAACAATAGGTACACTTTATTTGTATCTGGTATTATTTTTAAAAATCCAACTTCATAATGTATTGGTTTCTTACTATCTGCATACCAACTTCGTGCAGTGTAGTTTAACATTGGCTGACCTATTGATCTAAAACTCATTTCTTCGCAATACTCAAAGGATTTAATTGTCGGGTATTTACCAAGCCCCACATTTTTAGTCTTCCATAGACCTTTTAACCATGATATTGGTTTGAGTGCTTCATGCATTGGTAATTTAAAGTTCATATCTATCAAGGAAAAATGTTTTTTAAAATAGTTATATGTGCACATATCATTACTAATATTGACAATATTTACTTTTAACTTTAATATTAACAATACTGGATAATGGTTAAAATTACAGATTTACATACGAAGATTAATTATACATCTCTATTTTTCAAAAATTAAAAAGTTTTACGTTTCTTTTATTTTCTTTGTATATTATAGTAATCATTTTGTATGCTTTACTTGTAATTAAACATGAAAATATATACTTTAGAATTAAAGTTAAAAAAGACACGATTACTTACTACATATGTAAATTAAGGTACGTATCTTCGGATCTTCTTAAGAATATGTATATTCTCATAAATTTTAAAAAATCCGCGACTTCTAAAAATATCAATATGGCGGCTATGATTACTAAATTCTAGTAAACTAACCGCACATACTGTTTATACATAAGTATATATATGTATACAGTTTTTTTTTAACGGTTATACGATAATATGTACTACACTTCTTAAAAATTTGTACTGTCAATAATTAGTAACCTACAGTATTCAAAGTGAGAGACAGTTCGTAAAACACACTTCGAAATACGCGTAACGCTTGCGATAGTATCTATAACATAATATTTGAAACTTCATTCAAAATGTAATTTGACAACATATATATACATATATATATTGTTTGGATAATAAAATAACATATATTTTAATAGTGAAAAGTTTTTACAGTTTCTGTTATGGGTTACACAACTGATTTACTATATACATACATAGAGCTTGAAAAATTCAGTTTTATTAAAAAAAAAAGGATTTACTAATAATTTTTTACATGTATCATGCAGTTGTATGGAATTTATCAAAAATTATTACACTATTTTAGTACAATTACTCTTAAGTGACATTAGGTATTGTGGACTTAAATAAAGAGTACTGCTTTTGTACAATTTCACTTTATATATTTAGATGTACGTTTCTTGCATTTGCAGTTCTAATTGAATTTATTATATATGCACTTATATAAACATGTAACTTCGGGTTTATATATGCATACGTATTTTAATAGAATAATGGCAATTTCAATCAATGAAATTTGTGAAAACACTAAACTGGCTCGTGAAATGGCATTAACTGGTAACTATGATACATCGGGAGTTTATTACCAAGGTGTTGTACAGCAAATCCACCGCTTACTTGCAAGCATTGCAGATGCCACACGTAAGGCTAAGTGGCAACTTGTACAACATCAAATTGTTCAAGAATTTGAAAAAGTAAAGGCAACATCCAATACCTTACAACTCTTTAAAGTAGAAGCACACGGAGAAAGATTGTTTGGTATTCTTATTATCATTATTATTATTGTTGTTCATAATATATTTTAATCTTTTAATTAAAACATGTATCAAAATGTGTCGAATTACAAAAATGTTTAGGTACTTCATGTTTATCATTTGAAGAACCTACAAGAGATCCAACTTTATGGACTTATAATAATTCAGATACATCTTGGAATCAAACTCCAGCAAGAGATCCAGATGTGTGGCCACCTTTGACACCAGCAGAACAAAAGTGAGATACATCTTTTAATAGCAGCAATATTAACTTTAGGACAAACATTTTATAATGAAATTATTATATCACAATATATAGAATGTTAGTGTAAATCAATATATTTTTAGAAACATTAGGCCACAGAAAAACCAACCAAAACAACAAAATCGAACTAGCTTACGAAAATCAGTTGCTGCAGGAAAGAAACCAGACGCAAAAACAATTATTAAAAAAGATGACAGAAAGGTGTCACGAAAAGATGATGTAAATAAAGTTAGTTTATTTTTTCATTAGAGGTAATTACACATATATTATGCAATGCTATCATAATATATAAATACTTTTATAGGAAAAATCAGAAACTGAAAAAGTTGATGTGGAAGTAGAAGAACGCAAATTTGAGCCATCTGGCAACGATAGAGATTTAGTTGATTTACTAGGTATAATATATGTTATTGGATACACTAATACTTTAAAACTTAAATAACTTATAATTAATATTATAGAAAGAGACATTGTTCAAAAAAATCCAAATATTCACTGGGATGATATAGCTGATCTGCATGAAGCAAAGCGATTATTAGAAGAAGCTGTTGTTCTTCCAATGTGGATGCCAGATTTCTTTAAAGTATATATGTATGTATCCTGTATGATATCACCGTATTATAACAATTAATATTTTATTTTTAGGGAATTCGTCGTCCTTGGAAAGGAGTACTTATGGTTGGACCACCCGGTACTGGAAAAACAATGCTTGCAAAAGCAGTAGCCACTGAGTGTGGAACAACATTTTTCAATGTATCATCTTCTACGTTAACATCAAAATATAGAGGAGAGTCAGAAAAACTTGTTCGTCTTCTTTTCGAAATGGTAAGTATAAATCATAAAATGCAATGCCATTTTTATACAATTATATTTTAGACAAAATTGTTCCTTTGTGGACACTTTCTACTTCAGCGCTTGAAACAGTTCAAAATTTGCAAACCATGTTTATTATTTCATAAAGTCTTCTCATTTTTACAGACAAGAAGTTAATATTAAATACTAGGAACTGTCAATGTAGAGTAGTGTCTATGCAATATAGTTTCTTCTCCTCTAGTATATTGAAAAAAATCTTTCCGTCATGTACACTTTTATTACATGTTATTTTTACACGAAGTATTATTCCTCCAGAAAAAAAAAATCAATTTTAAACAGTATAAATTTTTTAAAATAGTTACCTATTATAAAAAGAAAAAATTAATTTTTTTACACAGTAGTTTAACCTTTCAGAAGGTGAAAAAGTGTATTTGATTTTTAATCTCCGAAATTTGTTTCTGTCTGGTACCATAAAAAGTATCCTCTTTAAAATGTATTACTAGACTAAAGTCAGTTTGTTCACTTATTTACAAGGTATCATACAAAACTAAAAGAACATGACTGAGAAAAACGTGTTTAAAGTTTTAAATAAATACGTGTCCGTATCTGCGATGTGTACTACATATAATTGAATACAGTTTTATAACATATTGTTGCGTGGACACGGCATGACTTCCGAATAAATAAAGGGCACTATTAATAAAAAGGAAGAATTATTTATTTGGCCTTTTAGAATTTTTTTTTTACCCGATAGGTAGCACGTAACAATATTATGAGTACATAGCATTAATAGAAAATTGAAAAACAAAAATAGGCTTTTCAATTCTCTGAAGTAAAAAGATTTAACTTCATAAAATGTTGTATGTGTATCTGACCTCGTCAATTGTCTATATGCATATATAAACGTATCTTTTGCAGGCTAGATTTTATGCACCTAGCACAATATTCATAGACGAAATTGACTCTCTATGCTCTAGAAGGGGATCAGAATCTGAACATGAAGCATCACGACGAGTAAAATCGGAACTTCTAGTTCAAATGGATGGTATAAGCTCAAACAGGTACCAATACGATATAAGATGAATGAGTTAATTATTTGGATTGACAATAAAATAGAATATAACGTGAAGCAACATATGATATTTTTTAGCGAAGACCCAAGTAAAGTGGTAATGGTATTAGCAGCAACAAATTTTCCATGGGACATTGACGAAGCTCTTCGTAGACGTTTAGAAAAACGTATCTATATTCCATTACCAAATCGTAAGTTTTACTGTGATTCATTTATAACTTTTTATCTACATATATACACTATACAGGAATTATGACATGCTTATATATGTCACACAGATGAAGGTAGAGAAGCTTTATTGAAAATTAATCTACGTGAAGTAAAGGTTGATTCTTCTGTAAATTTAGCAGATATTGCAAAAAAATTAGAAGGTTATTCTGGCGCAGATATTACAAATGTTTGCAGGTAAATACAATCAATATCCAATACGTTTAAAATTTCCAATGGCATAAAACTTTATTTGCATTTTGTAGAGACGCATCCATGATGTCCATGCGTAGGAAAATTGCAGGATTAAAGCCAGATCAAATCAGACAATTACCAAAAGAAGAATTAGATTTACCTGTGTCTGCCACAGATTTTGATGAAGCCGTCGAAAGATGTAATAAGAGTGTTTCTCAAGAAGATTTAGAAAAATACGAAAAATGGATGAGTGAATTTGGATCATCCTGATAACTTTCTATTTAGAAAAGTACAATTACATAACATTTTTTTATTCAAACTAAAATTGTTTAAATTTTCTATTTATCAGTACGCAAGGGAGACACCGAAGTGTTTAATTCCAATTTCAAGGAAATTGTACAGGTTTGTAGATATACATGCGTGGAAAATATTGGTAAAATATTAGCTACAGATGGTCATACACTTTTGAGAAATGAGAGATTAAAGTTTGTGAAAAATTGCCTACACGTTGGGTACTAATAACCGCGATCTTTTAATAGCAATACTGTTGGAGGGATAGAGTATTGGGCTGCTAATTTTTTTAGTTAGGTTTATGTCCCGCTGCACCTATTATTTTTTTTCACTTCAATAAAAATATACTTCATGTTTAGGTAATTTTCGCAAATTTTAACCCCACACGTACGCGCAGATACATACATGAAGTGCACAATCCAAATAAGTAGCCTCTGCTTCGTGATTGTGCCTGTGCGTACGTCTGGCCCACCGCTCAGCTGATGGTTAACTGCTAAATCGAGTTCGTTTAACTGCTAATATCTTGGGAATAGAGCTTCAGATTATAAAATGGTAAAGAATTTGTCGATTTGTATTTGCATGAGGAATATACATGTTCCGAATTGTCTTATCCTTTTGGGACACCCTATGTACCTATGAACCACGCAATTTCATCGAAATTGAAGTGGGACACTTCAGAGTTTCCCCTTGTTAGTTTAGACATTAATGTATATACTAAGCGTTGAAGTCGAGCAGTCTCTAAATATAGGAAGTAAAAATTCAGGTTTCTGCCTCTGACGACCCAATGAGCAGTCTGAGTATACATACAATGTTCTAACATTCGGTGAACGGACAATTATTTTCACGCTTGTGTGAACATAACATAGATGAGTAATATTATTTAACATAATGTGCAAATAAAAAGGGAGTAGTCTCCTCTTGTTAATGTTATCTAAACTATAAAAAAATGAAATAAGAATGAAGATATCACAACTTTTTGATACACCTGGTTTTTCATTAACCAAGTTCAGATATAATTTTACTACATTTTTGAATACTTTATTATGTGGAATTTGATTTTCGGGCCCCGGACAGTTGCGTGGCCGTGGTCCGCCGCGAACAAAGCCCCTCTTTCGGTCTCCGCAACTATCCGCGCCTCCACGAACTGAACGCCTGGCACTCCCCGAGTGCGGAGTGCCGGTATCGGGCAGGACTTCCGATACCTCCGAAATTTACGCAAGATCGAGACGACGAGAGAGTGGCGGTTGCCGGCTAGCACGCACGAGGGTCGAGATTCGCAAGTAGGATGCGGAGACTCTCCTCGCGGCAGGATGCGGTTCGCGAATGACTGAAGATCGTTATGCGTTAAATAAGACGTTTATTAACGCCACGCGTCTACCCTAGAGGGTAACGCTCACAATAGGTGGCCAACAATAACTATTCGATAACAGTTCTGGTCCGGAAATTCGATACGCGTCGCAATACGAACTATTTAACAAATGATTCGGTTACGGCGCTTCCGCGGGATGGTATAGACGGTACGCTACTAGTGGAGGAACCCCGAGGAAATCCGCCCACCCGCTACTTGTGGTCGCGCTCGCGAACTCGCAACTTCTCACAGAAGGCGAGAAGTTGACCGGTGTTACTCGACTCTACGTTATCGCAATCAATTACAGAATCACCCGTGACAGAATGGATAGCTTACCGCTTGCCGATGTTGGCAGTCTCGTGGCCGCAATACTCTCCGCTCGCACTCGCGATGTGTGACAAAAACATTTCGTGAATACTGACGGACATTATACAGATCGTGTCGCTCGCAACCGAATGACGAGCCGCGGATTTCGACCATCGGCCGTAACGCTCGGCGGTACCCCCCTTTCCCCGTTTCGCTACCGTTCTGTTCCCCGTGCCCCGCCGCGAATCTCCATTGGAGTATTCGCCTGTTCAGGAACGCCGCTATTCCGAAGACTCCTCGGGCCCTGAGGGTTTCCCGCCGCTTTCTGGCGGGCGGTGAGCTTGGGCGCCCTGCTCGTGCGGTGTCGGCTCGGTGGTGTTGTAGCGGCTGATGTTACGGTGGCCGAAGGTGGCCGTATGACCAGCGGTAACGGCTGTGTTAGTGGCTCGGTTGATGGCGGCCTCGTCAATAGTGGCCCAGTCGGTGGCGGCCCGGTCAGCGGCGGCCTGGTCGGTGGTGAGTGGATAGTGGTCCGTTGGGTGGTGGTGGTGGCAAGGCGTCCGCGACGAGGTGTTGGGCGCCTCGACGGTACTTTACCTCGAAGTCGTATTGCTGGAGTTCGAAGCCCTAGCGGACTAGGCGCCCGGACGGGTTATCGATGGTCTGCAGCCATTTTAGAGCCTGGTGGTCGGTAATGACGGTAAAGTGGTACCCCTTCAGGTAGGGTCTCATTTTCCGGATGCCTCAGACCACCGCCAGGCATTCCTTTTCGGTGACAGAATAGTTCTTTTCTGCCCCGTTGAGGGTGCGGCTGGCGTACGCAATGACATGCTCCTCCTCTTAGCTTCCTTGGGTGAGTAGTACTCACTGAGTACTGCCCCTAGTCCTCCGTGGCTGACGTCGGTTTGGAGGATGAACGATTGCGTGACGTCGGGGCAGGTCAGTACTGGGGCGAAGGCAAGCTGCTCCCGTAAGGTTTTTTAAGTTTATTACATAAATTTTGTGGCCAAGTCGCAGGATCACTAACAATAAACATTTCAATTTCATTATCGTTATCTTCATTATTTATCAATTCATCTTCAAATTTACATACATCTTCTATCACCTCAGTATCAATCTTATTAATCACACTTTGTTCTTCTGTATGAAAAGTTTTCATTTCTTCTTCGATTTTTTCATTCTCTTCGTGAAGTTCTTCTTGTTCATCTTCATTAATTTGTTTATTTATTGTATCATCTGGTATGCTTTCATCTAAGTAATTGATTTTTTTGCTTGTTCGTTTGAAGTTCCTTTTCGGCTTTTCTTTTTCGGGATTGAGTGCCAGATAGTTTTCTCGATTTTTCCATCATGCCCTGCAATTATGCTTATTTTATTATAATCAAAAAATAATAATTTATAAAACATCTGAAAAATTCATATAATTTGAGGTGACACACACTAATACAACGAAATAAAGTTTTACTTACCCAAATAAATACAATTTTGAATTTGAAAATGTGACAATGTTAATGTGAAGGCAGAGTTCACTGTACACGTTTTGGTTTTACTTCGAATGAATGTAAATAAAAATTGAACATTTTTTGTGTTCGCTGTACCGCCATTCGTTACTGACGGTCGTTGGCTGGGGGTTCCCGGAAACATTCTCCCGTTGGTGGCGTGCCAGTCGACTTAAGCCGATTTGCCCACTTTCTGATTGGCCAAGTTCTGTGGTGGCGCGCGGTTCAAATTTATTTCCTCTGTAATTTGGCGAATAGAAGCACCGACTAGGTATAGGATAGACCTATCATCTTATGGGACTTCGTGTCTCATGTTCTAAAATACCGATAGTGTAAAAAGTCAGGGATTTTCTGCTGCCCTCTACGTTATGAGAACGGTGAATTTGTGAACTACGTTAAATCTAAGAAGGGACCATGGTCGTGAACGGATTCTCTTCCGTCCGTTCACTGTAAAGTAGACGTATTAGAAAGGAGTCTTGGGTTCCAGTCCCGATGGACCTATTGGTTTTTTTTCGCGTACAAAAAAGTTATTGCGCTTAATATTGTTTTTATGAATATGTATATGTATTATTATGTACATTTGAGTAAATTATTTTATTATTCCATTGTTATTACAACAGTTTAACAGTGACAACGAACGCATTTATATTTTCAAATATCGGACTAACAGTATATTTTTATTCTATATTATTACATATATGTGAGTAATACGTATCAAAAACGTAATCGAAACACAGATTTTTATTACTCAAACAAACATCGCATAAAAGATATTTCGTTATATTGACATTTGTAATAATTATGGATGTTGCGGGGAAATCTATTGACATTATGGAACATGTAACGAAATATCACTGTAACACTTAAAAAAGTTTTAAAGTTCCATTTATATCATT